TAATAGTGTCTTTTGTGCATAAAAAATGAAGCAAATGTCTCAAATACAAATGTTTTTAATGTAGGCAATTGCATGCTTGGTTGAGTTCAAAAACTATTCAATAATATACCGCGGTTGAATTGTTAATTTCCATGGGTTTTTTATTTTATAAGGAACGCCCAACTTTGTGCAACATTCATCCAGATTACTCCGAATTAATCACTCTCATTTCAAAAGTACGAAGAGCTATACATTCGTTGCTATATGTGTGTCTATTCCGTCGCCATGACAACCAGATGTATCACCAAAGTACCTGTGTGAATCTTTAGTTTGACGTAGTTGGGTTGGATACCCCGAATAGGCCAAACGGAATGCAGATTGTTCGACAAAATGGCGACACCTGCCGTACGCAGGTTATAACTTGAATTTGCCTCGAATTTATTACGTAAATCGTGTATCGACTAAATGACGCGAAAATTTTTAGTCACGTAGTGAATCTGTACTCACAGTGGATATACTAGTACTCCAAACAATATAACGGAAGTAGTTCAGTCGTTGCTTTACTATTAGCGGTGTGCGGTTTAATTATATTTACAGAGCACCGGCTATGTACAACGCATTTCATTCTAACCTTAAAACTGGGCCTCCCTCTTATGTTATCAACAATAGCTTGGGGGTAAAACTGTCACCGAGATATACAACGCAGATGTAGCTGACGATATAGTATAGCTGGAAGAACTCTGACGTCATATTTGTGTAACTAATACTCGTTTGCATATCTATTTACGATAGTCGGGCATGGTACCAGAGGGCGCATTGTGCTATCCCGCTGTATTCAAAAGAAAGCAAAAAGAGGATAGCTTAATATCTTTTCACAATGCTACGCTGCTACAGAAAAATATAATCAGTCTGAATCGACCATTCCATTGATTGCCCGGGGTACAGGTCACTAAATATCCACAGCATATGCAATTATATCAATATTATTTCCAACTCAATGGTTTTTTGTTGTCATTGTCCGGTCACCATCAGGCAGTTGGATAGACTTCAATCATTCTACGCTGTTGGTATAATAGCACACCATAGTTCACTGCGTATTAAACACACACTGCACATTTGCATACAGTCTCTTGTTTTGATGTTTTTTCAATAAAATAAAATACTAGTATGAGTGTATAAATGACGAAAGTCGGGTTCACCGCAAAAGCCCGGTTACCGCGAAACAAACAAAAGACTGTATCATGCAAATCTACACACGTTGATAAAATACGTAAACACCTGTATTTTGAAGATATGATTTAAATAGTCACGAATAATTACTTGCATGTTGATAATAGATTTCAATATTCAAAAATAAACACCTGTATTTTGAAGATATGATTTAAATAGTCACGAATAATTACTTGCATGTTGATAATAGATTTCAATATTGGAAAATAAACACCTGTATTTTGATGTTATATTTGAATGATCAAGAATAAACAACTTTTTTTTGAAAAAAAAATAACCGAACTGCACTTTTTGCATACGAAGTGCACGGTTCGTAGGAATACATTAAAAAACACACAATTAAAACAAGGTAGTTATTTTTTATTATAAATCAATATGTTATCTAAAAAAATCTAAAACTCAACCCTAAATTAAGACAAAACACTGAAAAGTTTCGATCAAGGCATGTTTAGTTTCACACTATGTTACCACGCATCATTGAGATGGGGGAGGGGGGTATCTTTGAATTTGATTTTTTAAAACTGCTCGACTAAATATTACGGTGACCTCATTTTTTTAAAACCAATATCTCTAAATTAGGGTTAGGGTAATTACCGTATCAAGTACCAATAAATCCAAGAAGATGAAATGTAGATTACAAAGAGTAATAATATTTATTTAAATAATAGTTAAGCATTGGTGTAAAATAGGTTTGCAATATCGTCGCTATAGCAACGTCATTTTTAACTACATATACAATCCCCGGGAAGAATTACGCTGAGGACTGGGGTAAGTGAGTCGCCCGTATAGTGCAAGGCTTGAATTTTGAAGCATCATTAAAAAATATAATACTAGTATTATAAATCATATATTAAAAATGGCGGAAGGGCGTCACAGTTCTAAACAAACGACAGTTAAATTGGTGATCAACATTTTTTCTTGAATTTAACTGAACCGTAATTCGTTGATTTTTTCATCCGTTGATTTGCGTATTTGTGAATTATTCTAAACCCTTATATTAGAGGGCAACATTTGCACACGTGATTCTTTTACCCAAACCCTTTCCCGCCACATTAGGAAGTCGTTCTAAATGGTACAAGCCTTTTGATTGGTTCTTTCAACACGTAAGGTGTCAATAGTTTTAGTTAATGACAATGCAAACTTAGGTTCGGATTTAGGATCAAGAATTTAATTGATTTTTTCCGACATTCTCTTGTGGTGGTTTCAAATGCATTGAACCTGAAACCACGTGTTCCGATAAGCACTCCATGCATGCCTCCTGTCACGTTTTTTCCGTCACGCATCTGGACAATCGGATCTCTTTCACGATCTTGCGAACATTTCAGCGAACTAGTTTTAGTGGAGCCATGAGTTTATAGTTCAACGGTGGAATGCCCTAGAACTACTTACCCTTTGAACGTATGTGTTGTTATCAGTGTTTACCAGATTTGCTGTTATCCAATACCTCTTGCAGGAAAGCGATTGTAAAATTTGACAATCGTTTTGGGTGCAATATACACCCGATAAACTTTTAGTAAAACATTTTGCATAAGATTCAAATATTTTTTCTACTTTCTTGTTACTTTTAGAGCAAATGGACAACATTTCCATGGTTACCATCATATAATATTAATCAACATATTTAAAAAATAAAGACAAGATTATGCATGGTTATTTAGTGAGGTTAAAGACTTGAACTTGGTATTGAAAGGTTTACACCACAATTTCAGAATAACCCTCCGGATTTCTTTATTGCATCCTAAGGAAGTCAACACTCTAAACCGTCGACAAAGACGGCGACAATTGGTTGCTACTACACAATAACACCGGTTGACACGCGGCGCAAGTAGGTCCCCGCTCGCGCTCGCTAGAGGCAATTGGCACATCATCGTCATTGAGTGCACGATTTACTGACAATAATAATTCACGCGGTAAAAAGTTTAAAGATAACCCGATTTTAATAAAGACTCCATCGGTTCAGGACAATTTACATATGAAGTAACCCGTAACACTTGCCTAATATGACCAGTGTCGACCTGTCACTCAACTCTTGTTAGTACAATCAGGGACTCGGATGGGAGATAATTGCATGTCAGCGATTTACGTACTTATCTCGGCTTACATTTTCAATTTATGTATTTTTTCACATTTGTTATTCCATTTGTTCAATATATCTGTTAATAAATTGGGCATTAATTAAGCTGAGAAAATGTTATCTCATTTCCAATTCTGTACATTGTGTGGACAGAGTTCGTTTTGAAGTACTGTATAACTTAAGACTTATTAGCCGTGTTTTCACGCTTTTATTCTACAAATAACACAATGCACTGAATTAAACCCCAATGAATGTTAAAATTAGCATTAAGACAGTATCGTTGTTTGAGATAAAAACCATGATGACAGTTTTACTGACAGTGACTGCATTGTTTGCGTTGACTTGCTCATTGAGACAGTGGAAACTGTACCTATCAGTAAATGAATTTGCTTACATCCATGATGAAACCAGAAATTACTACAATAACCAACGCTGCTGCGAATACAAATGAGTGTGTGCGATAGGTGTGTTTAGTCACAGACCCTCCAGTCGGGCTTAGTGAACCACCAAACAAAACTTCCGGCCTGAACACCTGGAACAACAAATGTGCAACAATGTTTGTTACCATTTTAAGTGCCGCACCCGAAATACCATAGACAATCATTCATACTTTAAAAAAATGTAATGTTTGTTGGTATAAGATAGCACAAGGACACTACATAATATGGCTTCCTAAATCGCATTCCAGTACGTGTATCAAAACAGTACTTCACAATATGACCTTGACAATCCACGAACCTGAATGTACAATATACAAGCCCGTTGCCATGGAAACGATTTTTTTTATTAATATAATACTTTATAAAATAACAAAATTAATACCCAGTGACGGTTGATATTAATAAACTATGTCAGCAAGTTTAAACGAACACAATATAAAAATCTGTTTCAATTTAAAGGTGGTTATTTCCAACAGACTTTCAAAAAATCCATTTAATGCATATGTTGTCATTAAGGGGGTTGACTTGTTTACAAAGGTCAAGCGTGCCTGGAGTAAACCACCCTTACAGTAATGACATGATAGTCATATCGGATTATGTTGCGGTCTGTCGAAATACAGAGACACCGATTTGTTAGTTGCCTTTAAGTGGTTCACTCTTTGACACGAATAAAGTTTTTTTTTTGCTTGTACTCATTTCGATGATCAGAAAGTTTTCGCTGACCGTGCAAATGTCAGCTTGGTTATACTAGTGTTCTTTAAGACCAGCCGATTATTTCACATAAATGCGTCATTCGATCAGATTGAAAAGAAGTTATACATGTCAACGATCTTTTTTTGCCTTAAATGACTTCGGGAGCATTGTCAAATAGGTCATCAAAGAGGTGACGGGAATACTCAACACCTTGAAAGATCAGTGGAGTTGACAGGTACCAAGGTAATGCTAAAATGCGCGTTGACTGCGAGACTATGTCTTTCGGTCGTTTCGACTTCAGACACATTGAGGTGGTGGAGTGGTGAGAGTCGGTGCTTACAACGCCTCCATGACCCCGTGGCCAAGGTCAGCAAATTTGCAAGCGATTTTGCTGATCGGTTTGTTTTAATGGTATAATGAAACACGTCGTTCGTGAGTCCCCAAACTGCTAATTCACTGTACCGACTCGTCTACACCCTTGCCCGTTTGCCTGCGCGAGGTGTAGACATTATTCACTGTGGGCTACCTATATAACTGTTGAAGGAAGCGATGGCGTGGAATACCAATGACGTGAATCGACTTACCTTGAGTGAATCTTATACTCGCCAGCAACAGGTGTCGACTTTACCGGTGGCCTGTATCCCGACCCACCGAGTACTATGTACAGAGTTACACACACACACAAACGGTAGGATACTTGCAGTTGTTTCGGTATAATAATCAGCCTATAACGTCTTGGCGTTTTCCCTTTTACTCGGTCAATGCAGTGTGTCGATAGCACGGTTCACTATTCCGACGCAATTTGAATATGAAATGGGGTCTATTTATCGACGCCCTAGCTACCCGCGACGTCGACTAAATCTGGGTGGAGTCACTTCACAATCACAGGCGAAGATGAATAGAAAACAACGCGTTATAATGTAGTATGTTCACAACAAAAGAATGGTAATTCAGGTCCCACTCATCACATGTCGGAAATGCTCGGTATTGCACAACTTTCTTGTAGAGGAACTTTCAAGTTAACGAGGGAAAATAAAATTCTATAAATAGCTAACATGTGCGGTGAACGATGGCGTTATTGGATGGCGTTGTATGCGAGCCTCGGCCCGTAGAGTTTGCTATCTAATATGGATAATTGCGTCGGTAGGCTTGATCTATAGGCAAAACAGTCACCGTAGAATTGACGGTTCTCCCATATAAATCCGGTACCAGTACATGAAAGTATAGAAATTACGATTGAGAGAGACAGCAGCCCCGTGCTTAAAATACCAAAGTATGACCACAGACCACAAGTGTCAAGTTATCCGTCAACAACCGAGAAAAAGATATGAAACAGACTTCAGCCGGAAACGGAAATAATGATATAAAATGACTAATTTGGATTTATTGTTTTTCATGCACCATGGGCCACATATAGGGTTAGGGTGAGACGGATATGTACCGGTAGTTCCATGATATGATGTAGCATACATGAGAACACATGACGTAGTCGTTAACGTTGCTGCTATTTCGCCACAGAAGACAGTAATAATTAATATGTGCAATAAAAAAAATACTCATTTACGATAAGATAAAGTGTTGGTTGCGGCGTGATTAAATTACTGGTACGGGCATTTAAAGCGGGGGGAGTCGTCACCTACGCATGCGTCAGGTGGCCATAGCGCGTCATTGTTTACAAACAAGCGTCTACCCATGAGCCTTTGCGTTCTTAACGTGTGTTGTTATCATAGTCTGGGACTCAATTCCCGCGCGTGCGCGGGTGACGACCCCCCTGCTTTAATTCAATGAACAAACGCAGTTATACAGTTCGTTATTGCATTACTATTGCGAATGAAACGAGCAAAACCATCGTGACGTCATTAATCTACCTCGACGCCTCATATACAATGAGCATATGATGATATTTATAGGAGGTCACACACGGTGTCTGTAAGGATAATGCATTTGCTGTCTTTATAAGTTAACATATTATAACACGATATTCTCACGATTATCCATCATAGCTGAGACTGAATAACCGCATCGCCTGGAAGCATGTTATATCTTTTGTTACCGCACATTCCTTCTATCCTCTATAGAGGGACTGTGGTTAGCGCAAGGCCTAGGGTGTGTGTGTGCGTGTGTGTGCGTGTGTGTGTGTGTGTGTGTGTGTGTGTGTGTGTGTGTGTGTGT